TTTTAGATATATTTTTTTTTCTTCTTTGTTCATCAAAAAAAAAAAAAACTATTCTAATAACCTACGAGTTATTCAAATTGTTAAAATACGCCAATAAAAAATAATTTCTAAAATAATAAACAAAAAAGAATTTTTTTTTTTTTTTCGTTTTCTATCATAAGAACAAAAAAGAAGTTTGTTGTTTGTGTTTTTTTTCTTTTATAATACGTCTCCACGCACATGTGTGTATATATATGTATATATATATATATATATATTATAATACAAAAAAAAAAAAAAGAAATAAACGAAAACACTCTTACATCGTGCTCACACATTCATTTTCTGTACATGCAAACAAAAATTGCAAATAGAATAATCACTATGAATCTTTGTTCAATGAAAAATAGTTCGTACAAAACAACGAGTAGAGTATAGAAATCTGTTATATATATACAACACACAGAGAGAAAAAAAAGTAACACATCAAACTGTACATAAACACAGAAGAAAAGAAAAAGAAAAGATATCAACCACAAAATGTGCAAGTAAATCCTCCGAGTATTTTAATTAATGTTGGTAATTGTATTGATTCATCAATAGTTGTATCATTTATATAAAAATTACATAATGAACAACGTTTAGCACGATCTTGTATAAATATAGGTAGAAATGTTTTATTACAACGTTGAAAATCATGTCCATTTGAACATGTTATATCAAAAAATGTTCGTATATGTAATGTTTGTCCACATAATTGACAATGTAAATATTTTTGATCACATGTTGATAAATATTGACTATTTATTTGTGTTTGTGTTATTGGTCCATTTGATATTGTTATTGGTGTTGTTGTCATATTTGGATTAGCCATAGCAAGTAATGAACTAAATTGTGCTGTTAAATTTATATTTGTATTTATATTTGAATTAGTTACATTAGCTGATGCTTGTAATTGTTGTGTTGAATATTGTAATAATTGTTCACACCAATATAATATAGATTTTTCAATTGATGTTAATTGTATTTGTTGATCAGTTTGTACATAATCATATAATTTTTTAATTAAATCAATTGATATCATTTGTGCAAAAACATCAGCTAAAAATAACATATATGGTGCTTGTCGTAAACCATTACCAAGACCACTATTATGATATGATAATAATAAACGACATAATGAATGAACTTTTTTTAATAGACTAACACTTGCTTGATCAGCACAATCAGCAACAGACATAATTAAATCAGTTAATGCATTTGATTTATCTGAATAAAGTAATACACGTAATGCAGCAAGTACATCATTTAAACGAAATGATGGTAATGGATTTGAAAGAAAAAATGTTATTGTTGATGGTACATCTTTTAATGAATATATTGATAATGTTAATATAGCTTCACTACGTTTCATTGTTAATACAGTACAATGTGTTGGAGTTATACCAGCTGCTTGACATTCACTACCTGAAAAATATAAAATATATGATTTTAGTTGATTTTGTTGTTTTTTCTTTATTCATATATAAATATTATTGATGTTTAACTTTTTCTATTAAAAGATCAAAATCTTCAAGACAAAAATACTAATAGTATTTATCTTTTTATGAAATTAGTAACAATGAAATTCGAATAAAGACTATCAATTGAAAGAATTTTTTTTTTTATAAATGAAACATTGTTTTTCTAGAATGAACTGGCGCTCTGTTTAACATTTGTAATATTTTAAGAAACGCTTTAGAATGTTCTAGAACAATCCAAATCTTATTGTTATTGTCTCTCAACAGCTTTTTTCATCGATAACGCCATATGGACATTGACGTCTTTTGTCTTCATTTACTATGAAAATGTACTCAATGTTCTTTCATCCTTGACCCCTCAGTACTATGACAAAACACAGTATACATTTTTTTAATAGTACACGAAAATATGACTATCACTCAGAGTCGGATTCTTTTGCGTAAAAATAATTCTATATCCCTTTTTCATCTAACATAACAATTTTTGACAAAAGAGACTTGTAAAGAACGCTTGACTACATTTTTTTTTCTCTCTAGAACACTTATTCATATTATCTATAATTCAATTCGATTTTAGATCACTAATTCTGAATATGTCATGATTTCTTCAAAATCACGAGGAACATTATTCCTATGTCTACTATTAGAATAAAAATACAAATTCTATAGACGTAGTTTCGTACAAAAAACTAACCTGCTGGTAATAATTGACAAAATTGTTCAAATCTTGTTGTATGTTGTGTTGGATGATGATGATGTAGATGTGGATCATTAAATGTTTGTGTTACTTGTCGATGTATAAAACCATCTCGACATATTAAATATAAATCTTGTGTATCAGATAAAAAATGTGTTAATACACTTGAATTTAATGCATATTCATTAACTGTTTTTATTGTAAATTGTGAACATGATGTATTATAACCTGTTGATGTTATATTTAATGTTGCTATAACAATTGAATCCATTTGTGCAAAAAATAAACGATGTTCATTATATTGTTGATATAATGCAATATGATGTATACGTGCACCATTTGAAACAAGATGTGGTGATTCTTGTTTAGTATATGCAAGTAATGGTGTTAATTCATTACCAGTTAATGATATTGATATAAGTGATACATGTCCATGTGATGAACCAAGTGCTAATATACCAGCTGTATCAGATAATGATAACCATGCCATAGCTGATATTGAATTATGTGGTGGACGATATGATGTTTCTAATTTAGAATTATATAAACCATTTGATATTGTAGATGAAAGAGTAGATTTTTTCATACCAGTTGTTGATGATGTTATAGATGGTTCAGTTGCATTTGGTTCAAGTAAAGCAGCATATGTTAATGTAAGATTATTTGTTGGTTGTTGTTCAGATAATTGCCATATAGCAACATGTCCTGATTCAAGACCACAAAAAAGTAATACAAAACGTGATGGTGAATCACGACGAAGAACATTTGACCAACCTAAACATGTTGGTACTAAAAAAACAAAAATATGAATTAATAATAAATTTATTTCTTTTCTATAAATTTTAACCTAATAATGCTTCTTCATCACGTGATAATCCTCCAGTTGTTGTTGTTGTTGTTGTTGTTGTTGTTCCATTAGTAGTTGCTGTTTTTCGTGATGTTGTTGAATTAGTACCATTTCGTTCATCTAATTGTGATCGCCATCGTTTTGAAACATTAAATAAAACTACAGGTGATTCTTGATTAGCATCACATATAACAAGTTGTCCTGTTGATGAAGCAACAGCTAATAAACGAGCACCATCAGGTCGTAAAGAATCTGGACAAAAAAGAGCTAATGGTGTATATGTATAATATCGTAAATCATCTTGTTCAAGATGTTGATCAAGTTGAAACCATGAAACAGTAAATAATTGTACTTTACGTGATGAATGTCCACTAAATGTTAATAATGTAAAACCAGTTGATGATGCTATAGCAAAACGAGACCAATCTGAACATGAAATAGCGCCATCTTTGAGTGAATCTGATGTTTGAAAATGCTGCTCTTCAAGTAATGAACAATCAAAACCGCTCATTTATGTTTGATATTCTTGCCCAAAACTACATATAATATTAAATATAAAAGATAAAATTGATATTTTATTTCAAATCTACCTGATGATAATAATAGTTATAATTTTCAACAACATGATAGATAATTTGAAAAATCTTTCTTTTTTTTTTTTTTTTTCGTTTTTCTTTTTCTCTTGTCTTGTTCGATTGTTGAAAGAACGAATGGATCAGAACGCAAAAAGAAAAGAATGAGCGACAGTAGGAAGCGTCAGAAAACGAGAGAGAGAGAGAAAAACAATGGCGTGGTCGGATAAAAAGATGTGTGAGACACTATACAGAACAAACCATTGCCATTGTTTGTTTATATGTACCTTAATAATGTTTAAAAAAAAATGAAAATTTAATAAATTATTATATTATATTAAACATCCTTTTTTTGTCGTTAAAATATTTAAAATTTATTTTTGTTATAAAAGATAAATTAGTGGAAAATATAGATGTCACTAGTGTATTATTTACAATGAAAGAAAATCAGGTCTAAACACTATTAATCTGTGATCTCGCCTGGCTTGCAGGAAAATGCTTTATTAAAGTAGTTTAATAGATTCTATGACTTAATTAATGTTTTATTTCTCTAACAAGAAGTTAAATTGCATTTACTTTTCACTGTTCTATGTATTGTTCTGTCTATTGGGATACACTTTGGAGGTTCTGTCAATCATTTTTCTTTTAAAACTCTTCAAAATGCAAACTCAACCTCTAACAACAGTTAATGTTCGATACGAACAATGATATTAATTTCTAGCAGATTTTAATCAAAATTATTCAGACGAAAAACTTTTAGCATAGCTTGGCCTAACAACTTGATGAAAAAGTTTTTGAACAGGAGCACGTCATCAGAACCAACGGACAGCTCTGTGAATAACTGTCTGAAAACACATGAAACCAAAACAGTTTCTTATGCTTTTTAATGATGACTATAATTAAATATTTATTTTTACGTTTACATATGCATGCCTGTTAGGTTCCAACTAGTGCACGAGGAGAGGCAGGAGGGGCTGAGGTTCCCACAGAAATTTTTTAATTCTCATGAAAAATAGAATTGTTTGTCATTTTGGAATCTATACTGAGCAGAGTGAGCGAGACGCGTAAGTTCATCCTGTTCAATATTCGATATTTCTCTTAAATCAAATGAGAAAACAATATTAATTTTTCAATCTAACGAAGGAGTAAATGAATTTTTCTGATGAAAAAAATTATTTACTCATTTCTGACTGTGCGAAGTACTTTTCAACTTGGTCAAGATAGTCTTAATACATTTTCATAAGAAAGATATGGACATTTTTGTGTTAGATTTCAATAATCGATCTCATCGAGAACGATTCGGTTGTCAGTAAATATTATGTGGAATTTCTCACTACGGCTTTTACCAACGAACCGAAGTATGTATGGCCGCCTACGTTACTATTGTGTGCAGAACAATGTTGAACTGGAAATAGTTTTTTAGTAATTTGTTCGTCCAAAATGACTTTATAAATTATCTCATATAGACTACCAAAAATTCTTGTTCCATTCTTGTGGGTCTCGTGCTGAAGAAGTAATTTCGAATTTTCCTTCAATGCAAGTTTGCTTATCGAGAAAAAACGTGACATCAAAAATAGAGGCTTTTCCTTTAAACCGATTCGTGACAGCAATAATCAAGATATTTTTTTATATTGAAGTTTTACGGCGATTCTCGTTGGTTGTCTACGTTTTCGTTTTTATCTGAGTTATAGCTGGCTGTGAAATGAATCACTAATCTGATAATGTCATTTAAAATTGGCCTCATATCAGTAAAATCGGACAAAGCTTTTAGACCATATTCTAATAGACTTCATGTGATGAGTTGTAAAAATCTTTGATACTGTCGTAACGAACAAAGGAGAAGACTCCAGTGCTCCTGAGATCTTGATAGATGGACCTAAAAATATACTTCAGATCGACTATCATAGATTTTGACTCTGTTTTAATTCCATGTATTTTAATTTTTGAAACAGTTTGGATATAAAAACCCGCACTTCTAACTATTTCATTTGGCATCACTATATTCCTTACGTAGCATGGGACTAATTTTGAGTGACTAGTTTTCAGTTTAGACAGCATGTTGGAAATTATCTTTGACAATTACTTAGAGATCCGCATCATTAAATGGAATTGTATTCACTGTAGTGATTGAAAATGAAAAGCGCCACTTTTAGGATAAAAAATGTGCACTCAGAGAACACCCTCTTCGAAATTTTTAAAGTGTTGAAATATCGACCTCAAACAGCCCTGCCTATTTCAGATAGGACAGAGCCTTAGTTTCCTTTTTGTGCTAAAAGAATTAAAAATAATTAGCACTTCGTTAGTGCACTTTTTAAAAACGTTCAGGACTGAACTTCTCAGCCTGAAACTCTGGTTACGCTGCTAATTAGAAAGAATGTCCTATTTTTTTATTTATCCATTAACCTTCAATTGAGATTATACAAAAATGATGACCTTATTGTTCGCATTGACGACATCGATTAAATAGATAAAATGCGCATATATAAATATTGACATCTTTAAGTTAAAAAAAACAGAGTGTAAATAAATATGGATGATTTCTCCGTTAAAATAAATGATTTACCAGATGAAATTCTTATGACTATATCGAGAAAATTGTACAATGTTGAAGTACTCTCTTCTTTAATAAGTGTTAATCAACGACTCAATATAATTGCACATGATTCAAACTTTATAGATAATTTGACTTTATTTCAACGTTCCTCGCATAATTTCGTCGATCCATTATCATCTGCAATACTTGATCGATTTCTTTCGGATATTTTACCTAGAATTCATCATAGAATCAAATGGCTTAATCTTGAATCAACATCTATGAAAAATATTCTTCTTGCTACAAATTATCCTAGTTTATCTGGACTGAGTTTATATGGTATTGAGGTCGAAAAAGCTATATCTCTCTTTATTGATAAGTTATTTGACTCTGATTATTTTAATTGTGAATAAATGATAAGTAATAAAACTTCGTTGTACTATGTTTATAATCTAGTCAACTCGATTAAGTATAAATTTGTATAGAGTATAATTAATTTTACATAAATTCAATGATTTGATCAATATGAAAAAATGTAACGCTTGTTTCTTAAGACTTTTATTTTTATTTAAACAAAACTATTTTTACTCATATAGTCCGAAATGAAATATTATCATTTGTTATTGATATTAGTCGAAATAATAAAAAAAAACAAATTATAATAAAAGATATGAACAATATTGTATTAACACATATCTTAGCTATGTTCACCAATTTACAATATTTAAAGTTGGGTCCATCTTTGAATTTATTTACTTGATGGACGCTTTAATCAACTTCATACATTTCATGTTAATATTTGTCGAATTTCTTCTAACACATTAACAATTAATAATGTGTGGTAGATTAGTTTTTGGTAAATATTAAATTGGAAATCTTTTTCTTCTAGGACAAATTACCCAATCTAAGATGTTTTTCATTAGACTCTGATTTTCGTACACATGTTTATGATGAATTAATTGTACCATTGCTACATTGAATGCTGCTGAATTTAGAAAAACTGGATTTAAATGTTAAGATCGATCGTAGAAATGTATTGGTTGATGCAAATGATTTAAAAGAAACTGTCATTAATTATACATCACGATTAAATAAATTTACATTTAGTATTCATTCGTTCAATTGTCTTCCTACTAAAATTAATTTACTATCAAACGAAGTTATTCAACATATATTCAAAAATTTTACAGACAATCAAATTATATCTTGGGTTGATTATTTTCCAGAACGCAACTATAGTATTGCCATATTTATACATATCCATATAGATTTAACGTCCGTTTGAACATGAATTTTTTCTTCGAATCGCTCAATCATTTCTATTTATCAAAGCATTAACTGTTGTTAATCGTAAACCACAGAAAAACAAATTAGAGGATGATAATGAAGGTTTTTCATTTATTAAATATCCTCATCTTACTTCCATTAGCCTTATTGAAACTCATGTTGATTATATCGAATAAGTTTTAGTTGATACAAAAATGTGTTTACCAAATAATATTCGTCTCTTTGTTAAATATAATTCTTTAGAAAAATTGACAGACAACTTTAAAAGAGATGCAACACGAGTCAATTGTGCAAAAGCTTGTTATATATGTACAATATTCAGAAATGGAAATCACAATTTTCAATTACCAGAACATTTCAAAGACTATTTTCTTGACGTGGATGTAGATATTATGTAAATAAAACTCATTTATTTAGAATGAATCTATCAAAATAAAGCAGAGAGTAGTTTTGAATTCTATTGAAAAGAATGAAAATCTACTACATAATACAAGTAATGGTTACGAGTGCTCAATCGCTTTCGGATCATATATATGCTCAAACGATAGAGGATGTGGGTATTCATTCCTTGCATACCCACATGCATCCACATTTCTTTGAGAACAAGAAAAAAAACGGTAATTAGAAAGATGATGAATTATTTCAAAGTTAAGATTTATTTGTGACATTCAAAAAAAAAAAATTATACCGATGGACACATCCGAATTAAAAAAAACGGACCTCTTGTTTGTCTATCATTTTATTCCAGTACAGATGAACCTTCGAGGTCCAACTTTTCAAGAATGATGGCCATCAGTGTGGTTCGCGAACGAATACGACCAAATTGATTTGACCATTTGTTTGCTAAGTTACGTTTTCTTAAGATTGCATGGAACATAATGGCTATAACATTGATTAAAAAAAAACTTATGAATATGTTGAACAAAACAAAATTGTACAAACCAAGTATGGGCAATAGAATGCCAAAAAGAAGAATGAATAATACATTCAAAAAAGTCAATTTGAAAAAAGAAATGCCAAGGAAAATGATAAAAGCCAGACTACAAAGAATTTTTTTCGGTCTCAACGAATTTGGATGACGAATCGACGATACATTTAGATTAGCTCGATATCTACTGGCAACTGATGAATCGTTGCTCGGTGTTACAAGAAGAATTAGAAATAGACATAAAATGATTAGAAAGTCGACAGGAAACAGGATCCTAAATTAGAGGTTTGATATAATGTAGACAGTAAACACAGGTGACGTACCCAATAAGCCATAGACATGCGATACCGAATATGAAATAATTGGTTTGATAGTACATTAAATTGCTCAAGATCCTGTTTTGCATCCGAGCATCATCGTGATGTCTTGGCATATTCCATGTTGCATTCAAAAAAAAGTCATTGAATGAACGAACAGGAGCCATTTGTATATCTCTCCACTTTATCTGATCATTCTTATTTCGATCTATTTTTTTGCTCTCAAACACTAAAAAAAAAAACACAAAGAACCGTCATACTTACTTGAACAAATTGATTAGTTCATCTCTTTTCCTATTAAAAATTTCAAAACTTTGTGTTTTTACAACCAGAAACTATTGTTCAACATGACTTGATTACAAGCACGAAATGATGTTTCTTTCATGGACAGTACAACAATCTGTAATCCAATAGCTGACAGTCATTACAGTATTATGTTTTTTACCTCGAGCGGGCTCAGGAATATACTTCTTCACTTCGATTCGTTCAGGATTAGGCTTTTTCACTTCAATTCGTTCAGTGGATACTATTTCTCGTTTTGGCACGACGAAGGATTCATTATAACTACAATTGAGCAGAGAAGCAGCATTACATTGAGCCATAGAAAATCGTTGGAGCGCCTGAAGACGTGCTTCATTCAAACTTGCAATCAATGACTGTTTTTGAGTCTAAAATAATTTCAAGTAGAATATTTGATTGAATATCCAATGTTCAAAAGTAGTCTTAATCTCATTTCCTAATACAGAAGACAATGTTAACAATTAAACTCGAGTATTTTTCCTTTTTTGTTTTCTTGTATAACTTAATGTGACTGTATAAGCATTCAATGAATTGCCTGTTCAGTTTGGCTTAGATCGGATATATTCCGGATCTGTTGCATTGCCTCACCAGTTTTTATAATCAAATCATTTGTATCATCCAAAAGTGGATTACTAGTAGAATTCACAAGAGAAAAGTAATTATTATTCAATATTGAAATAGAGCATCCATATACATACAGGCGAGTCATTATAGCCTTCCTTTTTTCACTTTCTGGCAATGCAGCAAGCTTTTCAAACTCAACGGCTAAATTGAAAAAAATCAAATGAGTATATATCGACACAATAAACTCTTGACTACAAAGTACAAAAGATAATAGCATACCATTTTTGTGAATTTTGTCCAAATTCGTAGTAATGATTTGGTGTACTCGTGCCAGTTCTTTTGCCATGATTGTTAATTAGCTAAAGAAATGTAAGTAGGTCGTTGTCACAATGATTTTAATAGTGAAGAAGAGTTGTGATAAAGTATTGCACAGTATATTCGAGAAGAAAAAGTAAGACAAGCGCACTCTCTGATGTGTTATCAAAATATGCAAAGTGTCAGTCACATGTTATTCTTACATATTTGATCTCTTACTACACCTACTGCGTCATTATCAGTCGTATAATGATTTACGAATCTTTTGCAGTCAATCAAAGATTTGGATAACAATACCTATTCTGCAGAATCATATTTAACCTTTTCGATTTGAACATTTCAGATACAATTCATCTAATCAACATATCATTGCTTTTGTTTATTTTTTGTGGATACCACGAACATCGTATTAATGCTTCTTGTCCGACAAAAGTGTGAAAAATATCAAAAATAAATTTCCTACAGTGCTTTCAGATCATATCTTCTCGTCATACACCTGTAAACTAACTGAAAAATGCTGGTAGATATATCTATGACGTGGATATATTTAAACAAAAGATTATTCATCGACTGCTTCATTTTTCAGCGCATGTTACTCGTCGAAGTCAATCATACAAACAAAACCTATCGAACAACAAATGAATGACCACTAAACAGTATGTGAGACAAGAATGATTTACATTTCATCATTTACATCTTTCGTACTTTTATAATTCGTCAAATAAAAAAAAATCAGGTGTCGTAATTGATTGTTTGATTTATGTATGGTATATAACCTATACAAAAATTGTCTGTGTACAATGTTATAAATGTCAATTCATCTGATAAATTTCCAGTCATGATCAAAATTTCAGTTCTAAATATTGAGCTAACACTTTCTTATCATATTATAAGTGCTTCAAATCATGTTCCATGAATCTATTATGCTCACGAAAAGTCAGTCCGATATTAGAAGTTAGTTTTGATCTAAACTAAAGATTGTTTACTCTGAAATTTCGAGCGTAATTTTCTGGACTACTTCTAACAGACTTTCATTAAATTCTAATAGCTAGTAACTTTTTGTTTATGCTTTTATTACAAAGTATAAGAAAAAAATCCTTTGTGTTATCAAGGTCTAATCCAATGTTAGCATCAAGCAATTGAAATACGAATTCTAATATGACACTCGTACTATCTTCCTATCGACAAAAGTATCCCTTTATGAATTTGAATATCTTTCAGCTGTGTTAAATAATTATTTCAAATAAGAATAGATTAAACTTATCAATGATAAAGAAATTATATTATTGTTTGAAAAAAATTCAGCCAAAGCATACTATTAACGTAGTTCAATATTAATTGTTGTGAGTTACTAAATGAAACAATGTCTTCATAGAAATAAATTACGAGGTTTTTAGCTCTCAAAAGATCTAATTGACTAATTAATATATTAAGTGCACCAGTTTTTCATTGGTCAAGTCAACAATTTCAACCGGACATTTTTGTTTTTCTCCTGAGAAATTCTAGTATTTCATTGTTTTCTTTTCTTCAACAATTCCCAAATATCCTCACTTTGTTAAATCCAGCCATCTTTATTAAAAATCTTCTAATCAGTTTCTTAAATCATTGATCTTTCCGTAATCCTGGGATTCCCCCGACTCAATGATTGTTCCCGATCGTTCGATGACATGAATAACAGATGTCATTAATGATAGAGCTCTTA